GGGGAACTACTTCGAGGGTGATGAATGAATTTAATACCTGAGATAAGTGTACGGGTTTTTATACGCGCAGTCTCGAAACTTTCCGATCGCACCTCGTATATCGCAAGTATTGCACCTATCGAATAGTTTATGATAAGGAAAGTCAAAACCTCCTACCAGAAACAATGCTATTCTCTCAAAAATCAATTTTCGACAAATAAATCTGTAGAAAACATTTTAAAAACGTTTAAAACTTATGACATATATTTTTAATTATAACAATAGTAATATCAGTTGATAATACGTAAATCAAATTGAAACTATGAATAATAATTTAATTATTAAACAGTCCATAAATAAATATTAAATGACGATGAAAACGTGTTTACGTTTTTACATCGTCTGTGATCTATTTTAACACTTAAGTGAACGCTAATTATGGTAACGCTTGCGTAGTTGGCCTACATGTAATTTACTATAGTTTTCTATGTCGGATAGAAGCTTTCAGAAAGCAAAAGACGCAAGTGTAAAATAAAACTCCCAGTATGCAATGTTGTTACAAACACGAACAATAACAATTCCTTCGACTATTAAGGCAATTCTTCCTTAAACATATACAATAAATCAGTTTCAGATCTTAAAATGTAATGTTTTAGCTCCTGCTTTGATCAGTTTTGCGGGAGTTTAATCAAGTGTAATGTTGCTTTGCTTGCAAAACAAATGACAATACACTTCGTGTATTACACTATTAGTAAGTTAATTTCCCTTGCTTTTCGTGTATCGACAAATATTTTTAAATAAAAGTTATAGATTCATATTTTCTGTCATGATTAACTGTATGATGGGTCTACAGTTCAGCCAACTGTACTGGTCACGCGCTGTTGTTTTAGCATCAAGTAATACCACTTTACATTTAAAATAAACTTAAAACACTACAAACACAACTTTCTTCAGTGACGTATCCTCCACTCCGATGAAATGATTACATGATGTCATGACTTGGTTTCTACAGCCTCGTCTGTGTTAATGGAACGTGTAACATGGCGAATTTTTTATACGTATGCATCATACGCCTTGTGTCCCATATTTATGTCAGGTGCACACTTTTTAAAAATCACTAATAAATATGATAAAATTGAGAAACAATAAAATTCTCTTTTATGTCCGTACGTATAGGCCTAAAGAATTGGGTTATTTTTCAATAAAAAATATCAATGTGCATCATTTATTGTTCTCTCTTTCTAGATGTAATGCTTGTTTATGCTGAACGCGCGGAGATACATACATATCATCACGACTTCCTTTGATATGTTCCGCTGTGACACAAAGAAATGTTTTTAAAATCGAAATTTATTTCGCGAACAATTTAACACCACTTCATTTCTGGGAACGCCTGCAACTAGTGAATTCAGAATCTTTTGTTTTTCTGACTGGAACGTAAAACTTACATATCAAACCGTTGGTCTGAGTTCGTATAAAGCTTCATCTGTCACCTTAAAGAAGAACACACATACTGAGGCTGTTCGGGAACAGGGTGCTGAGGAGAATCTTTGGACCTAACGCATAGCTTCTAAGAAGAGCACGGAAAAATTGAGAAGATTTAAAATTTGTACACCTCAGCGTACATCACTACGACTATTAAATGAGAGGTGTTAAAGTATGTGGCATGCGTTGAAGATACGAGAAAAGATTACAGATTTTTTTGGGAACTTGGCATGAAAAGTTCATTAGCCTTTTAAGGCCGAAGATTATATAATTACGAATTCCGCCCGAATCGCAAGACTTTCTTCTCCAGTACAGAGCTCAACAGAACTGCTGTTCAAGAACACAATCCCCATGTGAAACCCATAAATTCATAATCCAGCGTTTTTGGTTCTCAAAGCAGATGGTGTATATATTTACCACTGGGCTTTGAAAGGGTTAAGACAGACCTTGAATAAATATGGAAGGAGGATTCGGATTGGATTCAGGTGGCTACGGGTAAAGTCCAGTGACTAGATCCTGTGAGTATCGTAATACAATTTTTGGGTTCCATAAAAAGCGGGTAATTTTTTATCTAACTGAGAACATTAGCTTTTAATGGACCGCAATCCATGGAGTCAAATAACAAGTACCACAAGGCCAATGAATCTAAAACCGGCCGTAGGGGTCTGAGCGCTATGTTCGTTTTCGCAGCTTGGGGAATTCCTCCCCCCTACTCTCACAGTCTTTATGATGGCTTAACTGCGCACTACAAAATAAATTAATACTTGTTCTTTCTTGCGGCAAACATTTTTATTATAATTCACCTCCTTCCGTTGATTTTAACAAGTGTGTAGCAGAAGAGAGAAAGTGTGGTTTAGCAGAGGGGGAAGCGACTTTTCTTTAGAACGGGGATGGAAGTGAAATCTCCAGTCATAGTTAATACGTTTAATTTCAGCGGATCCTCTTCCAAAATCCGTGAACCCGGTCTCAATGCTGCCCAATTGAGTTTGTAGTTTGCAATGGGATCACACAAAAAATCATTTTTATCCTTAGCAGTACAGTATACCCTTCAGAATCATCGTCAAAAACTTGTGTTTTATCAGATTTATATCAAAATTTGAATGTACACTTGGCTTAAAATCAGTCTAGCTTTCAGCCGAGTAATTGTTAGCAGTTACAACACGGCAACAAAAAATATAAAATGACATTATCAGTCCCGTTTATTGAAATTCATAATCGTCATGAAGTATAAAAAATTTTAAATTCAGGATTCACAATTTGTGACAAGGAAAGAAGAAAGGAAGACAAGAAGTACAGTAATCGTAATGAAAAGTGAGCAGTAATCATGGATTTAAAAACGCAATACTCAGTAAACAAAAATAAACATTTGTATGTTTAAAATTCCTTATGCGTTCTACCTTCTAAATTTAAATGTAATAACATTTTTCAACGGTGATTCGTACTTTTCACGTTATTCCTCATAACATTTAAGGAAAGCGATTTTCGATTTTGAAATTATCGATATAGTCAACGTCATGTTTTTAATTATTAATAAGCTTGCAGCCACCCATAACAAACAGCAATAAGACAATCACATCAAATGTAACGTGCTGAAAACGTAAAATTTATCTCTTGGATTTTGTCCATCTACTAAAATATCAAACAATAAACCGACAAAAATTCGTACGCTGTATTCTCCTTCCGTCTCCAAGCAGAAAAGCGGGAAAGAAAACAGAAAGCCCTTCTGTTTGACAAATACACTTTACTGTAAGGCCCTCTGAAACGCCAGTCTGTTTCTACCAGACTGTGTGACACGACATCCTAGAAGACAGCTAAATTAATACTCGACACCGTGAGAACGTAAAATATCAAGGACAATTCAGTTTTGCGACATTGTACAAAAGTATAGGCTACAGTAGGCTACTAAAGACTGGATAGAACAATGTTTTGTTTCAACATGCTATTTCTTATATAAGATTTCACTATTAACACTAACTTCCTTGCAAGAAAAAGAAATGAAGACAGAAACAAACAGATGTAGACCACGTGACTCCTGCCTACTCGCTGCCCACCCCGTGAGTGACTCGTGTATTGTAACAGCGAGAAAAGGACCGACAGTCGGCAGCACGGTCTCTTCGCTCTGGGCGTTGCGCAGTAAAATCGTGTAAAAGATCTCTAATCTGAAACCAATGGGGTAATCGGAGTGGACACTTGATATGCAGACGTTGCGAAGGCAATTCAATCATATACAACTGCCTGAGTTCACATCATGATCATATTACATGCTTCGGTAAACTCTGTCCGTATTGCCTACTGCTTAGCAAGCAGCAACAGAATAATACCACTGGCCATGGTGCGTGCGTGCATAGTGCATAGACGGAGTATCCTGGCAGCAAAATGAGGGACGAGTGTGGTATAGACGGGAAACAAAAGAAGGTTTCTGTACGAGTCTGACTCAATAACATTCGCTCCGATCCTTCGACCATTTGTTATCCATATAATGTATTTAAGTCTACACTAGGGTAATACTTAACCTGCCCAACGAGACTTAATCACTGATATCGTCTGCATGATTATTTCTTGGATGGAACTGGTAAACTCTCTTACAGAGACTCTATCCAGAAATTTCTTTGTTCACATGTTATTCTGGATTAGTACGACGTCACCGTCCTGACATACATGATTTAAATAGCCGTCAGAACAAGCATAAAAACTTTACTTCGTCTAAACAACTCAGTTTTGATTTTTATCCATACTTTACAGGATTTGAGTAGCTTTCCACTGGAGACCCATCGACCTCTATAAGGGCCGTGATAGAACTTAAACAAACCCGTTGAATTCACAGATATGTAGGGGTACAATGAATTCTTGCGCATTCTGTACGTAATAAATCCGCCACCTGTGTTATTTTTAGACCTTTTGAAAGTAAGAGGAAATGACAGGATAATATTAAGAAAAAACTGGGAAGTGTGTTGCGAGGTTTTACGATTTAGATGTCGAAATAATATCTAGTTTTCCAATCTTCGCGTTCCATTACAAAAGGGTTAAAATGATTATTGAATTATTTTGCGACACTTTTTACCTGCATAGTTTATAAAGTGTAAATAATTAATTGGAAAGAATGTGGAATTAAGCCACAGTCACCATTTTGAGAAATTATCACAAAATTTTCTTATAGGGGCTAACAGAAATAACAGAAAGCTTTACCAAGATAGCAGGTCCTCGGAACAAGATTCAAACCTAGGACCTTCCGATAATACAAACTGCGACGTTCGGGTCCAACACAATTATTTCGTTAATTTCTGAAATGCTGACATCGCGGACTTAAAAATTACAGGGAGCATAACAAAGTATGTTAAATATTTATAGTCTACTGAAACATTGGTGGTTCTTCAAGGTCAGCTGTGTTTGAAGGTAAGGGACAGGGTTAAGAGGTCATTAAATTGTTAATATGAGATCACTCATTTCACTTAAAACAAGCATCCAAATAATAAGAAAGCTTTGCTGCGTGGTACAAGTTGTGCCAGCACATTTTAAAAGAATTTGTTACTGCTTACTTCTGGTTACTGCAACTCCTTGTTTGCAAGTGGACTCTGTATGATGTACACAGCTTGGCTCAGGTAACGTCCATCGCACGCTGCATACGTCACGTGTACAATATGCCGCACTTTCTCGGAAGCTAGAACGAAGAATATGAAGAATGAATATACTGACCGCCTTGTTTATGGACCTGCTACACATAATTGTGAAACCAGTTCCAGTCTATTGTTATGAGAAAACAAGGTAATATATTATAACAATTTTCTGGTGCACGTAAAGGTTTATTATACAACGTAAAACGACAGTTACAGTGAAATATTTATTACGATTAAGGGAGTATTTACCTAACATATTAAATGAAATTGCAGCCCCGGTGGCACTGTTGGCTTACACAACGGACTACTGTAGGAAGCCTTTTAACCATACAACATTTTATCTAATCTCATATCCTTCCGCCAAGTGCAGTATTTCTTCTGTTTTCAATTTAATGATCCTTACAGAACCACTAATGACTGCGACTGAGTAGCCACGGAGATAACATGAATTTTAATTGGCTGGAACTACAGAATAAACTCTCTCAGGTTCCTACGCAAACATAACTCGAAGAATGAGCACATTCTTCTTTTCTCGAATGAATCACGGGATTGGTTATGTAAGTCTCATCATAGCCTTGAAAAATTCCTGCAGATACCTTTATTTAGAAATAAAATTACTTCCTAAAATCACAATTAATCGAGATATTCTTTTACGGTTTTCGGCAGACAATATGTTCGCTTACACCTTCCTAGTGAAGCGCCGCCGTATTACTCTGAATGGTTGAAGGGACTGAGTACAACCGCAAAGTTCCATAACCAGGGCTTCTCTTGCCAAAACGGCTGCAATGGTTAAAGTCAGATTAACTGCAAGCCCAGGGGCAAGATGGTGGAAAATCTGTCACTGGACACTGTGATCGGCTGGTAACTTAACATCATCTGTTACCTGAAATAGCATCAAGCTATAGAATCTAGAGTAATTCTCTTCCTGTGGGGACATATGAATTTACATGAACCCAACTAACTATAACTAACTTATGGAACCCGAAGGTTCATCACCGAATTAACCAAAGCCCCCCCAACCGGATCCTGTCCTGGGCCAACAAAATCCAGTCTCATTCAACTCCCATCTCCCACAGATCCCGCCCGACATTATCCTCCCATCTACGTCTAGGTCTCCCCAGCGGTGTCTTCCCCTCAGACTTCCTGACCAATACGTGGTGCACACCTCTTGTCCCATCCATGCAAGCTACATGCCCAGCCTACCTCATCTTCTCGACTTCATTTCCCTGACAATATTGGAGAAGGAGTACAGATTTTTAAGCTCGTCATTATGCAGTTTTCTCCAGACCCCATCGTCTTCTCTCCTAGGCCCAAATATCCTCCTGAACACCCTATTCTCAAACACCTGCAATCTGTGTTCCTCCCTTAGAGATAGTCCAATGTTCGCTAAAATGTTATGCCTTCCTAACATGTTATTTAGCCTCAAATGTAGACTTGGAGCGCAGGGGTGCTCAAACTTTTCAAGGTCTCGGCCACATTTGCATTTGCTAAACGACTCGCTGGTCGCAAGTACATAAATTAGAAAAGTTTAATAAAACTTCGTTAATAATCTACTAAAAATGTTGCTATCTTATTTTTAAGACCAGAAACATATTCGCAACTCAGTACCCTAAACAAAATCACCTATTAGTGAGACAGATGTCACTGATTTTGATTGAGTAATCTTTCGATAAATTTTAATCGCAGTCTTCTGCAACTCGAATACACACCTCTATGCGTTCATGAGTAAGACAAGGCCTAGTCTGACGCCTTTTATGGAGATATACAATTTCTCACAACAAAAGGTAGGTACTGTCAAATACTGACGACATTAACAAAACGTAGATTACTGTCTTCTGGGTTGTTGAGCCGTGTAGTCTCGTAGATGTCCACCAACGAGATGAATCGCCCTGATGACGGAGGCAGGATTACCTCTGAAACGATGGTGGACATTTACTAAACTACACGGTGCAACAAACCAGAAGACAGCAATTTCAGACTCACCACCGTGAAAACCTAAAATCTTACTTAACAAAGCGTCTTTTCTGATATGAGGTTGTCATTTTTCATCTTGCAGAGTGAAACGTGTTTTGCAAAGACACGAGGGTCCACAGGCCATAGGTTGGAATATATTTTGCTATAGTGTATATGTAAGCGTAAGTTACTTTTTCAATAAAGTGCTCATATAATATATGACAACAAATGTTTCAACATAAACATATTATGTTGATGTTGAAACATTTGTTGATAAATTGTTGCCAGCCAGTGACGTCCAAAACTTTCCGTTCAGTCAGGCAGCCTAATCCATGCAGAGTTACGT